GCAACATTTATCAAAACGTATCAAGCGATACATTTAAATTTTGAGCATGTCACAGTTACATAAATTTTACCACCAAAACCCAAAAAAGTAAAGGCACGAACAAATGCCAAACTGTAATTAATACTTCCGTATGTGGAAATGTTGAGGGGTGAAGCACACTGATGCCTGCAACTTACTATAAAAGGCACCCCCGAGGGTCACCTGGGTGGCTCAGTGGTTGAGCATCTGTCTTTGGTGCAGGTCGTGATCCTGGGGTCCTGGGATCCGGTCCTTGTACTGGGCTCCCTGGGGGGCGGGGAGGGAAGGCTGCTTCTTTTTCTGCCTCTCTCTGTGTCTCTCATGAATAAATAATTTTTTTTTTAAAGGCACTCTCGAAAGAAGGCCGATAAGTGGGTGAGAGAGGGAAAGATAGAGAAAGATAGGAGAAAGCTGGCAGAGTGAAATGTCAATGGTAGAGCCACCTAGGTGGCTGGGCAGATGGGCGGTCCCCAGAGAATTCTTTCAAGGTGGTTGCATGTCTCAAGTATTTCATAACAAAAAAGTAGAGGAGGACGGAAGGAAGGGACAGCCAGTAGGGATCACAAGGGGAAAAGAGGTGGCTGGAGGGTCACAGGAAGAAGGCAGCAAGGGAACGAAGAGGAACGGTTTCGGCCAACATCAGGGCCTCTCAAGGGCAGAACTGCAAAAGGTCAGGCCGACCTGGGGACATGCAATCATGGCCAAGAGGGAACGCATGTGAGCTTGGTGCTCAGACCTCTGCAGTCGTAAGTCCTTGTTCCCACGAGACCAGCTCCATGACCGTCTGACGCTCGGTCCCAGACAAGTCCTTGCCCCTTGCTGGCCACGGTACTGCCCCTGGAAACTCAAGGGACCAGTTTAGAGGATCCCTCACGTGCCTTCCAGCTCTGACAGTCTACTGTTCATTGTGTCTGCGCAAACCATGTTTCTAGACAGGTGCCAGAGGACGCAGAGGCCCGGTAGCTTTGGCATGCCCTGGCCATCGTACCCATGTGTCCCCGAAGAATGGGACTGGGCGTGACCAGCTCTCTCCTGTCTGCACGTGGACTCTCCGCTCTGTAGGTTAGCCACAGCCAACACTGAATCAATGAGCAGGAGCATGCTGCCCTCCCCCCCCAACACACAGCAGGTTTCTGGGACACAGGACATCATAGAAACCCCAGAGAATTACGGGGATACATTTGGTAGAGGGAAAACAAATCAGTAATAGTTTGCAAAATCCAATTTTAATAATTTTAAGATTATCTACTCTACTATCCTCCTCCTAACTCCCAATGGCCTGGATAATTTACACCCGATCGCACACAAACTGCCAAGTTTTCTGTGTCATGTTTTCTCCACTCTGTGTCTCTCTACCCCAAGGACACACAGCCCGGAGTTTGCCAAGGGATAGAAGCATCTGCCAGAAAGCTGACTGACCTGGTTCTAGTCCCAGTTCTACAATTAAGTCCCAGTTCTGCTGAGTACCTAACTGTAGACAAGTCACTTTTACTCTCTCTCCTCTCCTGTAAGATCTAAGCTACACGGAGCCTACCAGAGGCCTCTAACTCTCTGTTCTTTGACATGATTCTCCAATCTTCCTAGGTAAGTAATACTACCTTAAAATCTGTTCAGTTTGTATATATTCCGAAGCCCTTCTGTGTATAAGGTCACCTTTAAATCCATAATCCAGGTGGAGCCGGTGTGATCCTCATTTTAGGCACATGGGAACTAGGGTGCTGAGGGTTTGAGATATTTGCCAAGGTTCCCCTGTGGTTGGTGACGCAGGGGAGGGATACAACCCAGGGCCCTGAGTGGACTATGCAGATCCACCCCCACCCGCCCCCCGAAAAGCACAGGGGGCCCTGGGAGCCCCTTCCCCCATTTCTGTACCTATAACCAGCCTTGCTGCCTTGCCCACCCAGGTTTCCGTGGAAACCAGAGTCTAGTGCTTCTGGCCTCAGATCTTAAAGGGGAGGGTACATGTGTGTTTCTCAATCCAAAGACCGTTACCTCACAAACCAGAAAACAACTTCTGGCTGGACTTCCTTCCCGCCTTTCTCCTTAGGGCAGGGGGTGGGGGTGGGGGAGGAATGGGAGAGCACACTGCGCAGAGATCAGGACTCGGAAATGGGAGCCAGGAGCCTGGAGGAAGTCTCTCGAGTGCCTGGGGGTGGGGGAAATCCCACTCCTCCCTTGGAATCACTGTGGCACATCACCTAGGGGAAGTCTGGGATGCTCATTATGCAGGACAACCGGACACCCTGCATAGGCCCAGATGTGCCACAACTGGGGGTGGGGGTGACAGCCTCTCCCCTGAGTCCATGCCCACTGCTCACCAGGCTACGGCCACTGATGACACAAGAAGGGGGAACAGGGACAGAGGGCAGGAATGGGGGCTCAGACAGTGCCCTGCCCTTTAGCCTTGAGGGGACAGCAGGTAAATGGCTTGGTCCCTTGAGGCCAGGACATCTAAAGACTCTTCTGAAAAAGTAAAGCCCCACCCTGGGGTAAGAAAGGATTTCCATAATGACCACTTGGTCTATCAGTGGCCTGAATGCATTCCCAGAAGTGGTGATGCATCCCCAGCCGGTGGGGGAAGGAGGGAGTCATCCCCTACTCTTCTCCTGCAGGGCAGTCCTCCGGGCAGTCCTCGGCCACCCTTACACAACACCCACCTCCAGTTAGCTCAGAGGTTCCTGGCAAGGGCTCCCTCCCCGGGGACTGGAGTGAGCCCACGAGGGTCAGAGCTGCTGGTCCCTCCGGAGACACTGGAGCCTGGGAGTCTGCAAACACAACCCCAGTTGGCAGCAGCCTCTAACGCTCCTGTTTCCCAAACCAAAACCTGGCCCACCCAGACTTCCTGTGCAGGGGCAACGGACGGGAGCATCTGCCCTCTCTCCACTAACAAGGGCAACAATCAGAGGGACTGGGGGTGCTCCCCCCGCTCAGTGACTCTGGGCCTCGGGGGCTGTGACCCAGGGAAGGCGAGAGAAGGCCAGGGGAGCTGGGAGGTAAGGGACATCTCACCCCGCTTCCTAAGAACAGACGAACCCCTCCCCCTGTGGGAGGAGGTCAGAAGAGGAAAAGCAGCATAAAAAAATATATTAACACATACATCCATACAAACAGGGAAATCCTGAGCCCGCCGTAATTACACAGAGGTCTTCCCGCACGGGCCATGTACAACCTCCACCAAGTGACTGGTTCCTACTCACGGTCCCATTTTTTTCCTTAGAAATCCTTTGCATTCTAGCAAAGCGGCACAGGGAGGGCACTGAGTCTGCGGCAGCCTCGGGAATTCCCTGGAACTGGCTCTGTTCCCGGTGAAGAACCCAGGAAGGGCCCCCCCAGACCTTTCTTAAGGAGCCGGCCACTCACACCCGTCTCCTGTCACCAACGGTCTGAAAGCAATTCTAGCCAGGACTCTCGAATTTTGAAACATCACAAACTTGATGAACCCCACCTCACAATTCTGATTTCTTCCTTAAACTTAAACCAAAATGGCTTCATCTCTGCCCCCCCCCCCCCCCCCGCCTTGGGTAATGGAGAGCTAAGTGTCTTCCACCCTCCAGATGCCTTGTGGCTGGTGAAGGGGAGAAAATATCCTGCCCACCTGCTTCTTCCCAGCTACCAGCTCGGGTTCAACACAATCTTCCCCCATCGGACAAGGAGAATGCAGAGATAAGGGAGCTAAATCTCGCTCCCCTCCACTCCAGGATTAGCAAGCAGCTGCCTCTGGATCACCAGCCCCTCCCTTCGATATGGAGAGACTCTCAGCAGCCGGGGCCTCAAGCAGGGGTGTCTGTTCACTGCTTGCTCACCCCCCACGCTGCAAACTGCCGCTTCCCAGGCATGACAGATGTAGCTGCTATTCAGCATGTTCAAGCCAGGACAAAAGCCTTCTCCAGAAGCACAAAGCCAGCAGGGATGCAGACAGGGCCAACTTCAATAGAAGCCACCTGCCAGGGGCCCTTCTCTGCCACACCCCCCAGCACACACGCACACACACACACATATGTACACACACACCTTTTTAAAATCTCTCCAACTTGGGCTGACCTAGAGTCAGGTGAATTCTTCTCGAATCACTGGGCAGCTCGCCCAGAGCAGGGAGGTTGTCCTGCCATTTCTCTAACAGTAGACTAACAGTAGACTCTAAGGATGCTAATAAGTAATAGGTAAAAAAAAAAAAAGGGATCCCATAAATGTCAGGAGCACTAGGTTACAAAGTCAAATGGATTCTTTTGCTACAGAACTTCTCAGAGCCTTTAAAATGTTAATATGAATAAATAAATAAAAAATAAATAAAATAAAATGTTAATGTGCATGCAGAGCATTTCCCAGATTTATCTCATCAGAGCATCTTGGGACCGGCATTCCACCAACACATTCCAAGACCGTCTGGTGCCTGGAGAGATGGGTAACTCTCCTCCACCCTGACCCCTGACCATAGCTCTCCTACTATTGGGAGTATATAAGAAAAACATGTTTTCCCTTCGATAAACTGCCAGTGAACATATGGGTGAACAGGTTAATGAGCGCACACAGGCTTGGGGCATCTTCACCCTCAGTTCAACTAGTGAAGTTTCCGAAGGACCGTTACAACTTCAGCAGAGAAACTGAGCCTCTGCACACACCCGAGCCAACGTCGGCTGTGAATCACCTAAGCCTATGTCACCAAGGACAAGGGCTCCACCCCAGGCCAGCCACTGGGTTTTCTTCCTGTATCAAGTCTCCTCCTAACTACCCCAACTGTTTTGCATTTGCCTATATGGGTAACCGGGTCATGCACGCAGCGTACACACCTGCGGTCAGTGAGGGGTCACCACCAAGTGTCACATGGTCTGGGTGAGCTCAGCCACCGATGCCACTAATCCCCACGGAGAAACAGAAGAGGATGGCAGGCAAGGGTTGTCACCTGGGCTTCTTCCCACCATGGGCCAGATACCAACGGAGAGGTCACAATGAGTGACAGACGCTCAGATGGGACACGGATGATGTTAACGTTTCCAGAAAGTCCAGTGTTTTTGTATTCAAACTATATATCTACATCTCGGGTTGTCTCCAGAGGAGCGGACAATAGTCTTCCCCCACCGGCTCCCTGAAAAAAATTGTTCATCAGACACCCTGATTTTGGCCACATGCTCCTTCGGGAGGCTCTCTGGTTTCCCGGGGTGGGCTCTCTGTGCGTTCCCGATGAAGCAGGCTCCGGACGGGCACCTCCCACTGACCTCTGCGGCTGAGCACAGAGGCAGGTGTCCTGGTGACAGGCTGCAGGGTCCTCTCAATGCCGCCCCCCCCAACACACACAGGAAGCCTCTGCCTCTCGAGCAGTTAGTTGCCCCTGTTCGGAAGCCACGGGCTGTTCCTGGTACGCGAGTTTCTTAGAACAGTGGAGCTGGAGATTGCGGTTAGTATCTGGGCAGCAACCAGAGGCCGGGGAATTCCTCCCGCCGGTTCTGACCTAGGGAGGGAGGAGGCCGAACGTCAGCTCTCGCCTCTCCACGCCTCTCCACGCCTCTCCACGCCTCTCCACGCCAGCGGCGCAGCAGAAAACAAGAGGAGACACAGAGAGGCAGCAGGGGACCGTCTCTATTTAGCCCTGGATGCAAAAGTGTGCTTCAGCACCTCGGAAAAGGCCCCCCATTTATTCCTAGTATGTTTCCCCAAATTTCTCTTCTTGTCCACTGGGCAAAATGAGCCTAATCCATACAGGCTGGGGGTAAAAGGGAAGCCCGGCAGCCGTTCCCAAAGAAGCCTCCCGCCCTCCCCAGGCAGCCCCAGGTCCCGGCAGAGCTGCGACAGGAAATACCCTTTCCGGACACCAGGCCAGGCCGCCTGCCCCGGGGCCCCCGCAGGGCCAGAGGGAGCCCCTGGCTCCGCTCATTATTCCATTTATCGGAGCCAGGCAGCTTCTGTTTGGATGTAGCTGCTTCTGAAGCAGACACTTTAATTCTTGATTTCAAAAACTTTATTGTTTAAATACCAGTTTTGCCTCTGAGGCAGCCAAGGCTCCAGGCCCTGCGTGCTAATTATCAGCTGCTAAACAGCACTTTTCTCTGAGGAGCTGCTGGGGCCCGAGGCCACTGGGGAGAGAAGGCTGCCCTGGGAGACGGGTTCCTGCTCCCCAAGGTGGGCTCATCGGAATCCCGAGGCCACACGGGCAGGAAGACTACCCCACTTCTGGGGGCACACGCGACACCTCGGCTAAATACCTGGCGCTACGCTTTGCACTGGGGGATTCCAAACAAATGGACACAGTCCTTGTCCTCAAGGAGCTCAGAGTCCAGGGCAGAAGGACACAAGAGTGACTGTGATTCAAATTCAGAGCAGATTTACCACTAGTATGAACCACCTACTAGCATAAGGAAAGGAGCTCATCTGCCTGGGGTGGGGGGTGGGCAGCAGGTGAAATCTAAGCTTCGAAGGAGAGCTCGAACCCTACCAGGACATGAGATGATGAACAAATGGGAGGCCCAGCAGAAGATCCGGGAGCCTAAGCAAGTACTCAGAGTGGAGAGTAGTTAGTGGTCTCTGAAAGGGGAGTGTATGTGTGTGAGGGGTGGGGGTGGAAGGAAGGTCAAAGCTAGCTTGTCTGAAGGCCATGTTAGGAGTCTCCATGCATCACGCTGGAGGCCAGGGGAGGGTGCTACTGAAGGTCTCTAAGCAGAGTGATGTTTATGGTCCTACCTGATGGGCAAAGGATGGCTGAGTCTACCAACGCCTCTGAAGGCAAACAGATCGGTGGCCCCATAAAGCAACCGTTAACCATGCAGAGAGAAATAGGGACTCTTTCCTATGGAACGGTGTGCAGAGAGGGGGAGGGTACACATGGTCCACACCGGCTGCACAACCTCTAGGAGCCTCCACTGACAGGGTCCACCGCGACACGGACCTTTCCTCAATCTCTCAGCAAGGCCCGATAATTGGAAGGATCCGGGCAATGATGTCTCATCTCTGCATCTCCCTTGAGCCCTTGGCAGGCTGAGTACTCTGAAAATGAGCCATGACGTCCGTCGGGTCACAGGCTGTGTTCAAACATCTGCAGAAGACGGAGTACAGGAGACGGAGCTGAAGCACTCTGTGAGGCTCCAGAAAACGCAACTAGCACTAAGAAATATTACAAGTTCAGGGAACAAATTTTGAACTCAGTAAACAGAGAACTTTAACAACAGCAGCTTTTTGTTTGTTTGTTTTGTTTTGTTTTTTTAATGGTAAGGTTTTCTTGAAAAGGGGTAAGCTCCCCCCATAACTGGAGGAATTTAAGCTCAGGATCAATAGATCAGTGGTAGCCAAACCCAGATAATGATCAGATGAGAACACACATACCTGAATGCCACCTCTGTGGTCTCAGACTCAAAAAGATATGGAGAGTGAGGCCCAGGCATCTGTATTTTCAAATGTTACCCATAGGTGACAACTGACTTAGTGCGGGAGCCATGGGGCTACCTGACCATCTACTGGGATATAGTCCTAAACAAGACAAACTAAATACTATCTGAGGTCCATTTTTAAATGATTACCACCTCTTTACCCCTTACCTGGGCCTTAAAACCTCTCCGTGTGCTCTTCCACAAATCCCCTTCCACCTCGGATAATTCTCTACCAGGGTGCAGAATGATGACCTCAGAGTGCAGCATTGTCTAAGAGAATGTTCTGAGATGATAGAATGTTCTCTAGCTGTCCTGCCCAGTACAGTGGCCACTAGCTACATGAGACCCCTGAGCACTTGCAACGTGGCTACTGCTACAGAGGAACTAATGTTTCGTTTTATTTATTTAACTTAAATAGCCACATGTGGCTAGGGCTACGCTACTGACCAGCGCAGCGTCCTGTGAAAGAGGGCTGATGTGTTCACTGTGGGATCCAGGTAAACAAGCAAACTCCATCCACCACCACCTCTCAGAGCTCGTGTCCAGCCTGAAGGGCACTAGACAGGGAGATTAAATTCAAAGAAAACCGCAGGAAAGGAGGAGCTCTATGTCAGCTGTACCAAAGACAACAGGTACAGAAAACAGCCCAAACTAAAACTCTCACCCCTACGGACTTTGCCCTCCTCTGCTGGAGAAAGCAATTAATGCCAGCAGCACTAGAAGTGCCAGCAGCCACCACGCACCCCAGGCAGTGGGGCTTTTCCCAGCTTCCTCAGAGCAAGCAGGCCTCACTCTCAGGGATGACCTAAAACACCCCTTGGTTGACTAAAGCCAGGGTCGCAAAGGTTTGTAGAGAACGTTTTGGCCACGGAAATTTGGGGGGCACAGAAATCCAAGAGAGAGAGAAGAGAAGAGAAGAGAAGAGAAGAGAAGAGAAGAGAAGAGAAGAGAAGAGAAGAGAAGAAGAAACACAACCCCAAACCCACTACTTTTCCAGACCTCAAAATTTCTCATCAGGAAAATAAATCATCTGCACGCTTTCAAACATAACTGGATTCCTGCCCAGGTACAGTACAAAGGCCAAATTCAAACCTGACCAAGAACTCCAGATTAACGTGTGTGGTCTTCCAGCCTTGATTCCCGCCTCCCACACGTCAAGCCCCTCTGCCCAGCACCTGCCTAGGCACATGCTCTGAATCTACCACCGAGTGTGATTACCTGAGCCGAGAAGTATTGCCTCGGCCTTCTAGAATACCCAACGAACAGAGCCGGATGCGGGAGCAGGAGAGGCCAGGTGGGTGTCGGGAACCACCTGTCCTCCCTCACCAGCTCCCACTGTCAAGGAGAGGCCGCCGGGCAGCCCTCCAGGCAGCCGGCCTGCTGCAGGGCCACGGCCCTGGAGGAGAGGGACGAGGGAGGAAAGGAAGATCTCTACCAAGAGCGCGGGGGCAGGGGCGCGGGCAGTGCCCTCCATCAAAGACTAGAGGCTGTGTCTGAAGTTTGAAGTTTACTGGAAGATGGTTTTCCCCTTCTATAAAAAGAGAAAAAAAAAAAAGAAAAGAAAGGAAAAGAAAAGAAGATCGTGTTGCAACTTCCTTCACCACGACACTCGCTCAGGAAAAAACCCAGGCCTTGCTTCACTTTCCCAGCTGCGCTAACGGTCGGCCCCAACCTGAGCCCGGACTCCGGAGGCCCCGAGAGGCAGGAGCCTAAGGTGGCCGGAGCCCGGGCCCGAGAGCCGCCCCGGCACCCTGCGCGCCGCCTGCCCCCCCCACCTCAGGGGCGCAGCTCGGCGTGGCCCCTCGGAGCTGGACAGGAGTCCCGTGAGGGCCCAGCGGCCCATAAAAGTCAGCTCTGCCACGGGGTCAGCCCGGCCAACTCCTCATGACTCCTTTCCTCCCCGGCTCTACTGGCCGGCCGGCCGCCAACACCCCACCCCAAGCATTTCCTATTACCACGGAGATCCCTGGGAGGAGGTCAGCCTTGCCCCCCTGGGCCGAACGGAAGGTGGGAGTACCCAGCGTCATTCTTCACGTTATTCCTCAGGATCCCTCCCACCGGCCACACTTTTATCTGCCCCCCCCCTTGTGTGTCACAGGTGTGATTCCATGAGGTGTCCTCTGCCCACTCCGGGCAGAGCTGACCCCCTCCCAGGTGTCCGTGGCCACCCTACAGCCCCGACTCCACCACTTACCCACCGCCGCCTCCCCGAGCCTCTTTCTTTGTATTAAACCCAGACATCAGACGTCCTGGCCTGCCTGTGTCAGAGACCGTCAAATGAGAGTATGTGTGAGAGGGCACGATCCGGATCGCGGGCCTCATGGGGGGCGGGGTCTTTTTCATCTTTTTCACTCCTTTTATACTCACACGGGTGTTCACTCCCCGTCTGGACCATCAGTTCCCAAAGGCAGGGCCCATACCCTATCAGTGTAGCGATGTGCACAAAACAAGCATTCCATAAATATTTGAGGATACAACCTAACTGCTAGGGCAACTAAGCACTAAGTTACAACGGATTCGTAGAGGAACTATATAGAGAGGCAGCATGGCAAGCCAGAGGGAGCGCAGGCTGAGTCCGACCCTCCCAGCACCGGCAGCCTCATGGCTCTGTACCTGATGGCTCCCCTCCCAGGACTCCCAAGTGCACTCCCAGTGCACCTTCCCTGAGCCACACACACGCCCAGCAGTCCAGGGCCTCCTTTCTTTTTGCCACCATGTTTTTTTTGTTTGTTTGTTTGTTTTTTGCTTTTTTTTTTAAGATTTTATTTATTCGTGAGAGACACACAGAGAGAGAGGCAGAGACACAGGCAGAGGGAGGAGCAGGCTCCTTGCGGGGAGCCTGATGCAGGACTCCATCCCGGGGCTCTAGGATCACGCCCTGGGCACTCAACCACGGAGCCACCCAGGTGTCCCTTTTTGCCACCATCTGACAAGCTGTATCATTTAATTGATTATGTCTTGTCAGTCTCCCATTGCTAGAATGTAAGCTCCATGCAGACAAGATTTTTTTTTTTTTGGTCTGGTTTGTGCACTTAACAGATCCCCCCAGAGCCGAAAATAATTGACGGCGCTTAGCAGGTGCTCAGTAAATCGTTGCTAGCGAATGCACTGTTCTGACCGTGTCTGACCACTTTCCCCTTCTGTAAAGTCTAAGCGTTCTGTAAAGACTTCGACCTTGCAGTATTATTTTAGGGATTACCAAGAATGTAAGTAAAACACCTCACACAATGCCTGACACAAAGTATCTGCTCAATAAAGACTTGTTATTAATCTGGGAAACCTTCATAGTATTGCTAAACGGTTAGCAGTGATCTGAATGAGGCAGGAGACGGAGGACTGTTAGATGCATCAGGGTCCCTGTGCCGCTCTGATCTATCCTCAGGGAGGCTGCAGAAGTCATCCTCAGCGCTGCTAATTAATTTTCTCGAGTAGTAAGTTGCTTCGGATCACAGAGGGATAGAAGGCACCCTAAGGCAAATCCTGCTTAGAAAGGCAGGAGTCTAGTCTAAGCTGCTAGAAAGAATCAGCCCTCATTGTTCCAAATTCCTCTCATCTCATATAGCAGAGGTATTAAAGGGGTCTAAACCCAAGGGGATGACCCTGACTCGTCTCCCATTCGAGGCTAATCCTGCCATCTGGGCGTCCTGATGGCCAGGCAGCAGGGAAGGCAAGAGGCAAGCATGGAGGAGAATAAATGTTTATAAACACTGGCTGAACGGCTGAATGAATAAAAATACTACAGCCCTGGGAATGGTGACAGAACACTGGCCTGCAGAAGGTGAGGGTAGAGAGGAACGGTCCCTGCTGCCCGGAACCTGGCTGCCCACCTTCTTCCCAGCACAGGGTTGGTTTCCCAGCAGTGCGGGAACAGTAATACAGAAAACCCTTCATTCAAGGCAGGAGTCCTCTACAATCAAGTCTGAGATCAAGCCCGAGCCCTGTGATTCACAAATGAGGAAACTGAGTGAGGCCCAGACAGGTTCTCAGACCTGCTGAGGACCACACAAGCCAGGGCGCTCGGATACCAGTCCCAATCTGTTTCTCCTACAAATCTGTGGCATGGAATTAAGTGGCCCCATGGAAATTCAAACCTCTGACCTCAGACCTGGCAACCTGGGGCTCAATACCCGTCTCCTTGTGACACGCAGGAGCGAGGCCAGCCGTCACATCACCCTGGACTGCATCTGTGTGTCTCTGCTTTGTCTGGAGCTAACTAGAGGTGCCAAGAGCTGGAGGAGAGCTGGCTAGTTCTACATCTGTCCCGTTCTCAGTTAAAATTCTCTGAGAGAAGGATCGTCTCCATAGTGGAACAGGAAAAGGAGGGGCTCTGGAGCAGGGAGGAGAAAGAGAAGAGGCATCAATGGGAAACTGTGGTCAGGGCCCTTACAAGAACGAGAAATCCGTTAGCAGAAACAGAAGGTGCCAGCTTGAGTCAGCAGATCCGAATGTGTGGAGGGAAGAAATGCCCAGAAGACTGTTCTGCTATGAATGGTTTCTTAGCAGATAAGAGGAAGAACAGGTTCGGACACGGTCGGGGGGGCGGGGGGCTTTACTAGGCCCCTGGCTCAATCTCAGAGAGCCTAGCCCAATACCGCTCCACGCCCTGGGCCGCTCCTCTTGTCCCCCCTCCACCTGAGGATCACTATCAGGACCTTACGTTCATGCAGGTAGCGCCCACTATTACTCAGCGATCACACCTTTATTAGGCAGCTACGTATGATGCACGATGCCAAAATACTCCATGATCTTTTTTTTAAAGAGGGTATACAGTCACATGGAAATAAGAGGATATATAAATATCGAAGATGTGAATCTTCGGGGACTTACAATCCAGTATCTAGAAGAGCCCCCTTGAACGTGGAGACAGACTGAAACAGAGGGGAAGAGTGTCTTGGCAAGTTTGACAGGGAAGGTGGGGGAGAGCCACTTCTAGCGTGAAGGCTTTCATGAAAGTGGCAGCATTTGTACAGGGTGGAGTAGCTAGATACAGAGAGGGGTGAGGCAGGGAGGCAAAGATGATACAGGTGGACAGATGGCATACATCCCGTGAGCAAAGGTGACGGGGGGTGGGGAATGAGAGGGAGGCAGGGCCCTACTAAGGAAACAGCAAAAGTAAGGCACTTCAGCTGAAACACAGCAGGTATTCAGAAAATAAACAGCAACAACAACAACAACAAAAAAAACCCCACAAAAAAACAGATTGGGTCACATCAGGGAAGGATCCGGAAATGTCCTGTATTTTACAGGCAGAGTGAACCCACTGAAGGGTTTAAGTGGGGAAGATACATGATCAGAGCTGGCTTTAGGCAGAGTAATCCCCCAAGGAACAGAGGGGGCAAGACCTCCATTCCCCAGCTGAGGTTCTCAGAGGCAGCCACGCGTTTCTCCGGCCTGGCCCCACCCCACCCCACTCCACCCCACCCACCCCACCCACCTCCGGCTCTCCCTTCCTTCTTGCTCTCATTACACCTCAAACCCCAGTCTCTGTTCCTTTTAAAAATCTAAGGCAAGGTAACCAAAACAAGTCAATGAAATCAGAAGGGTCCAGATGCGGGCCGAGGGGCACTGGTACCCCTCCTCTTCCCCGCGGGGAGCCCAGGTGACCAGCACCCTGCCAGGCGAGGGGGGACATTGGGGGTCACATGACTGTATGAAGTCCCTGAGGATCCCACACCAGCTCCAGTGGAAAGGTGACACTCAGGAGCCCGGCAGTTGGAGGGAATAATGAAACTTCAGTGTTTCTGTAAACACAGGCATTTCCAAAGCAGGCTACTATATGCACTGGCTCTGTCCCCGATTCCTTCTCCCCTTCAGAGCTCCGGGTGCCTATGAGGACAGAGGCACCTGAAGGGCGCAAGATGACCCCTGCTACCTTCGCCTTTGCTGGCATTTGCTGGCGAGTCGGCCCAAGGCCCCTATGGCCTCTACACCAGTCCACCTGCATTCCTAGGATGCTCTAAGTTCCACACTTGTGGCCTCCATTGCCCAGGGCTCCCCCTCCACCTCCCTGCCCCTCCCCCCAGGGTCCTCTGAGCTCTACAGAAGTCTGGCCTGTCCAGCAACTGGCAGATCCTCCACTTGGAGAGGCTTCACTGCCCCAGCTCCCCTGAAGCCTGGCCTTTAGAATCTGCAAGCTTTCCTCTAAGAATTTCAGAAGCCAGAGGAGGAGGCCCGGGACAGAGAAGAGGGAGGGTATGGTTACTCCAAGGACAGGGGCTCCTTCTGTCAGAGTTAAAAATAAACTCTTAGCAGTTTACACCCAACTCCTCCCTCCAGAAGCCAATGGGCCTTGGCAGATAAATCTCTCCCCGCAGAGAAAATGAGGCCTCAGGGGGACAGACAGGAGAAAGCAGTCCACAGAGACACAGTCCAGTATGTAACTCGAGCTGAAGCCAGAGGCCCCCCCAAGACCTACCTCAGCTCCTACCCTCACACACCTCTTCTCCCAAACAAACCTCAATCTCAGAAAAAAAGATGCAGAACCCTTGTTTGCATGGTTAGTACCAACAGCTGTCCAAGGATTAGGAAAGTCAGAAAGAATGCCAAAGTCAAGCTAAAAGAAATGGTCTACCCAGTATCTATCATGCTATCACCTAGCATCTCTGTTCTGCTTCCTCGCCTGCCCAGGATCCCCAGGCAGGAAGGGAAGAGGCCACCCCACTGGGCTTCGATGGACATGGATCAGCAACAACCCTGCCCCCACAGTCAGGAGACAGAAGAGACCGGTGTTCTCTGTGACATCCTGCAGGTGGCAAAGCTGGAAAGGCTGGAGGAGCCATGGCCTGACTCGGGAAGGAGGGCCCGAGAGCCAGGGCCCAGTAACCAGGGCCCAGTAACGCTTGGAGGCCGACAGTATGAGGTCACATCTCTGAGCCTGGTAACCCTAAGCCCCACACAGCAGGGGGGAGATTATAGCTGAGCAACGGGACAGGAGTCCTAGGGCAGGTAGCAGGCGGTCACGGGGCAGTCGGGGGAGGGCCTCCTAACTCAGCCATACACCTTGCGGCAGGGAGGCCTGCTTGCCAGTGTACCTTGCAGGCAGCCAGGGCAGGAGGCAAGCACGGGGAAAGTCTCATGGACTCTGATGAGCTTCCACACCCTCCCCCTAGCCCTCCCCCTGATGGAGAAGAAGCAGGGCAGCTCCCCGGGGCCCTTGTACCCCTTGTACAGCGGCGGCCCCCTGCCCTTGCAGCCTGAGCTCGGCAGGTGGTTGGGGGCAATCACTTTTATCGCTCTTCCGAGTGCCAGGAGTGAGATCCGCTACCTGGAGCAGCCCCAGCCATGCCTCCCTCCCAGGGCTCGGGAAAGGCAGTTGGCCCCAACCACCCACCAAGCTCAGGCTGCAAGAGTAGGGGGCGCAGGGGGAGATCTCGAGCTAGAAGAGAGACTCCGTCTTCTGCAGTGTGGCAGGGACAGGAAGGCTGGGGTGGACAGCAGGGCCGGGCTGCGAGGGGAGACTGCACCAGTGGCAGGTCTATTTTTAGCTGTTGGGACAGAGGGGCTGAGCAACAATTCTAGGCCCCGGGCGGGAGGCCAGGTTGCAAATGTCCCGTGTGTGTAGGCTGGGAGCCTAGTGACAATATGGATCATCACAATGGCAGCAAGGTGATTGACGCCATCACCTGCCATGGAGGGGTGGAAGGCAGAGGTTTGTCAGTAGGTCCCCAGCAGGGGCTCGTCAGTAGGTCCCCCTCACCTTTGCTCTAGGTTCAAAAGAATCAGTGGGGCCGAGTCACGCAGAGAGAGAGAAGGCCCCCTTTGTTCCCCTCATCTGCTCGGAGACAGGAAAGCCTTGGAATGGTGGCCACCCAGCGTCTGCCTTGGGCCACCACCCCTCACCTTCCAGATGAGCGCTAGATGGCTGCTGGCCACGGAGATGCCTGGAACGTCCCTTCAGAGTAAGATGCCCTTTCACATGACCCTTCTGGGCAGCTCAGGTTCCTAGCAGAATAAACACAGAGACTGGCCGGTGCTGGAGGGGAACACGACTAACAGATAGGGTTTGACCTTGGGGCCTCGTCCCAGCCTCTCCCACCCACCAGCTCGCACCCAGAGATGTTTACTAGGTTGGAGAACCAGGAGCCCAAGGCTGCACTCCCAGGGGCTGAGCACAATCTCATCCCCTTCTGCCCTGGGTGTCTCATTCCTCCAACCACACAGGGTGGCCTGGCCCGCGGGACCCCACAGCCAAAGCTTCTGGGCTGAAACTACGGCTTTGGCACCAAGTGAGCCGGAAGAGGAGGAAAGAGGCATCCCCAGGCATCCGTCTTTCCTCTTGCTTCTCCGGACTTCTGGTCTCTAGTCTTACGTAACCTTGGGGAGGGGAGGAGTGCTATCTGGATATACATCCCGATTTCCTCATGGGCTTTGGGAACAGCCCCCAGCCCCCACCATATCTCTGGATAACTTAGAAGGAGGAACCCACTGGGACGAGCCCCACACCAAGGCAACACGAAGCCAGACTAGTGGACAGCAGGTCGGACTACAGCTCTCACCCCCGCCCCCCTGCAGGGCGCAGCCTGCACAGCCAATCGCCGCGGCCTTGTTTGGCCCCACACCTCAAATGGGAACAAAGTTCCAGAACATGAAGAGTTCTTCCTCTCTACCCTGAGACCCCACGACACTAGGATTCTTCTGCCCTCAAGGTAAGAGGAGACCCCTGCCCCGCCCCGAGTTACACAGCCCATGCTCTCCGCCGAGGCGCCCGCTGGAACGCTTGCCAAGTCTTCCCACGAGAGAAGGAGCAGCTGGTCGGCGATGAGTATTAATTAACTGGACGCAGCTACCGTGGAGCCCAGCATCAAGCTTATCACAGGGGCATCCCCGCTGGCCCCGGCACTGCTGATGGTCCGACAGGGAGCAGGTTGGGCACAGCCTTCCACCCCGTACCCACCCACCCTCCCACCCCACCCATGCCAGTGCTCAGGAGCAACTGGGAGCCTGACCTCAGACACAGGCACCAAAGCCTGGGAAATTTAACTGACCTGTTCAAGGTCACATGACCAGTTAGCAGGGCACAATACACTGGACATCATCTTTTGCTTTCTCAGCTAGTACATGACCAGTAATAACAGGCTCATCTTCATAAATCTGTACCCATATATATCCTAAAATGCAAAATATCAGTATCCCCCTAATGATGAGAAAAGGTACCAAATCTGATTTAGGTTTTACCCCCGGTGTACGGCAAGCTGCCCAGGGGCATGGCCCCTTCTCTCCACCAATGTCCCCATTTATAAGGTGACCTATGTAGAAAAAGCCCAGGGAGCAGTTAGTTGAGCTCAGTTTTGCCCTGCAAGGGCCACAATCCCAATACTACTACCTGTAGCAACCAAAACATCACGGGAACTGAGACTGAGGGAAGATCCCAGGGAAGTGCTTCCCTGATGAAGACCAAGGGTAAGACCTGGGAACCCTTCCTGCCTGGCCTCGCCTCCCACTCTGGTGAGATGGAAGGAGTCAAGAAAGATGCCCAGGGAGTGTCATCAGCTCTAAGGTGCAATGAGGTATGGGACTCTTCCGCACGGGCCTTAAATCATTATCAAGAGCAGATGCGGCCCCTTGGAACACAAAGAACAACTCTGCCCTGCCCGCCCCTCCCTCCTGGAACACTGAAGCATCTGCAAGGATGTAGTCCGGGAAAGACAGGGAAAAAGGGACCCCATGTGGCCCTTGGAAGGGCCCAAAGTGGAAGAGAGGAAGCAAGACCTCCAACCACCAGGGAGAGTCCTGAATCAGAGCCCTGAGGGCCTCCTGGGAAGGACTCCAATGCAGACACCAGTGCCCTGTCCTTCCCCACTGTGGCTGACATTCCTCCTGGCACGGCCTCCACACTCCCCTGGGGTTTGCAGGTGACAGGAGCTTTGGCCTCTCCTCCAACCCAGGAGCTGGCCAGGGATTAAATCTGCAGTCCCAAAGCTTGGCCCTTCCAGACCTCTCCCTGAATCCCTGCACCTGCTTCTTAGGGAGAATCGTCAACTGATGATGAGTCGACTCCTCTGGTCCCAAGCAGTCAAAACATGTTAATCGTGGGCCCCGATACCTTCATGCCCCCCTGAAAAGGAGCATCTTCATTTCCCAGGCACCCACCAACATCTGGTCCCGAGGCCTGGGGCTGCTTTTCTCCCCCTTTCCATCAGCCACCGATCCCAGATCTTAGCTGGAAACTATTTTCAAGCTCCATCAAAGCCCAGAATTCACAAGTGAAAAAGGACCCTGCGCTGATCCACCTTTGATCCTGCCTCAGCGGGCGCCAAGGCCCCACGAGAGGGAGGGGGTCTCTGAAACCAGAAACTAGACCTCCCTGGTCTGAACCTCTGTGATCTGTCACCCTTCTTTACAACAGCCTGTTAGTTTACTTCATGCCCCACAAATACTGTAAAACCTGCTTTTAATACAAAGCTAGGTTCGCCTCATTTCTGGGCCAGCAGCCCTACACGCTCCCTGCCCACCTGGTCTCCTGTTCTCCCCTCAGGGCCAGGGTCACCAGCCCCTCCTACAAATCTGCTCAAACTTCAGAGGCCCAGCAATGAGCTCTCGGTGGCTCCTAGGCTCCTCACAGATTTCCCTTCCAAAACTCTTCTATCCCCAACCACACAGTTTCACCTCTAGATCAGCACAGTCCAGTAGAACTTTCTACGAGGATGAATCTATTCTTCCAACCTATCCCGTTCAGTAGCCAGCAGCCGTGCGTAGCTTCTCAACACTTGAAAGCTGGCTGGCTCATTTTTTATTTAATTCATATTAATTAATTTTAGCTTAAATAACTGTGCGTGGGTATTGGCAACCATACTGGACAATGCAGCATCCATCTGTTAATCCTGCCTTCTCCAAATCAGTTTCTTGACCCCCTAAGTTTTAAGGCATTTTTTACGTCTGTATCTCTGTATCCTCTACAGCACCAAGCATATGGTAGGATGCTCAGCGAAATGTCAACAACCTATAACCACAGTGGATTTAAAAGAGGCTGATTTGGGTGTCGGTCAGTTAAGCGTCTGACTTGATTTCAGCTCAGGTCATGATCTCAGGGTCACGAGATCGAGCCCCTCCTCGGGCTCCACACTGGGCCTGGAGCCTGTTTGAGGCTCTCTCTCCCCCACCTCTCTTTCTTTAAAGGAAAAGAGGCCGATTTAGTCAATGACACTGTCCCCCCATGTAATTCCAACCAGCAAAGACAATTTGGGGACACTGCCCCTCACGCAGCCAGGCTACCCATCCTGCTCCCCAGGAGGTACTCAGCATGAGGTGTGCTGAGCAGGAGGCAGCCTGTACTTCGGGACCGTGGGAGCGCCTGTGTTCCCCTCTGCGTCCAGAACAACCATGGGAGGTTCCGATTATCTCCCCTTCAGAACACCATAGGAAGCCACACCACAGTGACACAAAGTGACCTAGGGAGGGAGAACCACAGGAGAAAGGAAAGGAGACGACATCACAGGACCTTGTTTTCTCTAATCCACGCAATGGAAAGATAAACAGAGATAAGGTATGATAACAGTCTATATTTTGTACGGCAATAATACGCTTCAACTAATCAGAGTCACACAGCAGAGAGGGACAACGGTGCAAGCTTTAATTAAATTTGTTCAGCTAATACCCAAGAGTCACCATGACACAGTGCAGCAGGAAGCAGCTGAGGAACCCCCCAGGGAGTACAACCAATTATTACACAAGTGGATTGAGACTAAGTGTCCTTACCAAAGAAATAGTTAGGAGAATTCCCACATTCTTATACAAAAAAATAATAAGTACAATTTCTATCAAATGTTCCTTCCAAGGGGTGGAGGTGGTGTAAAAAAAAATTTTTTTTAAAGTTCATTACCCAATTTAAAATTCATGAACCTGCTGAGTTGGTATATAAGCTGCCCCCCAACCCCCCCCCCCGCCCCAACTCTGGCGTTATTGCTGGAGAGGCAATAAATACCCCACCGGGCATCCCCTCGCCAAGAGCCACGAGGGTAAGAGGGCAGCTCCTCGGGCTTAGGGAGCTCTGGAGCAGCAGCCAACCCCAGGTCCGAGCCTGCTGACGTCACTGCAGTTATGAAGTGGGAAGAGGTCTGAGATGGGGAGTCAGGCGCCCCAGGTTCTAATCCTGCCTCTGCCGAGTGCATGGCTCTATGACCTCAAGCAAGTTTTTGCTCTGGGCCTTGGTTTTCTCCTCTGCGAGAAGAGGGGGTTTAGACGAGATGACCTCTGAAGTCCCTTCCGACTCTGACAAAGTATGAGTATGACTCAGAACTTAGCAAGAGCAGCCAGGAGAGATGGTGAGGTGAGGTCACAGCACCCACTAAAAGCCCTGAAATGCCAGCTCTCCGAGGTGGAGGTAGAGAAGCAGCAGGGTTAAGTGGGGACTTTTTTTTTTAAAAGCACTGATTTCACTTAAGAGGACTAAGAGGTCATCAGACCACAGAAGGAGCAGGGCATCCGGGGCAGCCACCCTCCCATCCACTCTCAGAGCTGTGAGACAGCAGAGATCAGAAGCCCCATCCGAGGCCCGGCTCCAGCCCTACAGCTCCTGCCCTAAATCCTCAGGAACGGCCTGACACTGGATGTAGAGTAGAGGTCTGGTCCCTTTCTCCTCAGGCACCTTCCAGGTGGGGTAATCCGTCCTCGCCTGCAACATCCGCCTCCCTCGTTTTATAATCAAAGCACTGCTGGTTTTGAAAATCGTTTCACTACTCAGCATCTGAGGTTAAGTTCATCAAGATTCAAGATCTAGAAATCTCTTTGGTGTATGTCTCAAACAGGGTTCTTTGGCCCAGATTCCCCCCACAAGCTGTAATTATGTCTTAGCCAATATTTGGATATGGAAGTACTGTTGACACTGCTGTCACTCTCTGAATGCCTCATACCTTCTTTCTTCCTCTATTATTAAGTTTTTACACAAAGATGTGTGGGAATCTACAATTTAACAGTTGAGTCAACTTATAATATCTGGGAGCAGGCTGCCTGTCAAAACAGACCGACTTCTAACCTGAGCAGGATGAATTATGAGTGTTACTTAGACTGCTGCTGGATTTTTCCTTTCAGAACGATTTACAGGAGGGAAACGTCCAAATCTCTCTATTAATTACAATAATAGAAGCCTGAATTACGGTAGAGATCTGAGTCGCCAACCTAAAACATTTTAGCCTATGGTTTTACGTGTCATGAAATAGAATAAAGGAAGAAGTTGTGAGCTTCTGTTCTGAAGTCTTTGCGCAATATTCCAACTATCCAAGGGGATGAACAGCCACTGTCCCCAAAGTGCCAACGGGTGAGGGCAGATGGCCTCTCAGAGGGAATAGAAAACTCTCCCAGAAACAACGTCTGTCGCTTCCTCACCGGTACAGGTTAACTGTGGTCAAACAGCATCCACTCACCTCCGCTGCTCAAGGTCAGAGCCACAGGTAAACCACCACTCTTCCCGCCTGTCCCCACTTGTGAGTATGGAAAAGAGTGGTCCAAGGCACAACAACCGAAAGCCCACGGCAGGAGCTTGGAGTCGAAACCCAAATTCTGACAACGCTGGGGCTAGCTGAAAGCCCTCCCCCCGGAAAAGGAGGATGCGAGCAGCAAGAAAATCACCGTAGAGGCCTTAAAATCTGGACACTGGACGTGCTTGCCCTCTGCAACTGCAAAGTGCCAGAGTTTTATTACATCTAATTATATATTCCAACAGTCCCACCCATCACACCTATCTGAGTTTTGTATTAAGAACTTAAACACAGGGATCCCTGGGTGGCGCAGCGGTTTAGCGCCTGCCTTTGGCCCAGGGCCCGATCCTGGAGACCCGGGATCAAATCCCACGTCGGGCTCCCGGTGCATGGAGCCTGCTTCTCCCTCTGCCTATGTCTCTGCCCCCCTGTCTCTCTCTCTCTGTGTGTGACTATCATAAATAAATAAATAAAAATCAAAAAAAAAAAAAGAACTTAAACACAGCTAGCTGGGGGGGGGGTAGGTGGAAGAGAAAAATATAACACAGGAAGTATTTTTCTACTCCTCCAATCATTTAAGACGCCCCAGGGGAAACAGGCCTGATGTGTCACCTTTAGAGATGTGGTTTGATCTGAAACCTGTCGGAGGGGAAAACCTTCTTAGTGACCCCGAACCCTGGCTCACGCTGCACGGGGGACCCACCCGTGGCACCAAGACCTCCAAGTCCATTCTGTCTAACTCCCGAAGCGGGTATTCTCCCTTCAATCCTTATCCCCACCCCAACCACCACACCCCCTTAGAAAAAAAAAAAAAAAAAGAGGTTGGGTTTCCCCAGCTGGAGGATAACGCTCCCTCCGAGCAGGAGCATCCACCAATCCCGTGTCCGGGGCTCCGGCCGCCCTCTCCGATTTGCGGAATCAGCGCGGCCGAGGCGCGGTGCAGCCCCGGAGCGGCGGGCGCAGGTCGGAGCGGCTGCTCGGGGTCGCCCCCCCCCCCCGGGCCCCGCGGAATCCCCGGCCCGCACCCCCCCCCCCCCGCGCGCCGCTCCGGAGGCCCAGGGAAGTGAAATCACACATTCCGGCTCCCAAATAAGGAGCGAGGCTAAAGCAACCCCGGATCCGACTTCTCCAAACTCCGCGACCAACCAGCTCAATGAGTAATGGGGCCTTCGGTGCCCGCGGAGGGCAAGAAAGGAGGGAGGAGAGGACGGGGAACCACAGCCCCCGAAAATCACTTCCTCGGGCCGGGGCGAACTTAGCAGAAGTGGGGTCCCCGAGCCAACCGGCCTGCGCCCCGGCTGGGGCCCGCCGCAACCCCAAGATGGCAGGGACCTCCCGGGTCCCTCCCGGGTCCCGCCACCCACACCCGGAGGTGACCGGAAGCCGGGTCGGCGGCGTGGCGGGCGCGGACCTGACCTTCCCCGCCCCCCGCGCCCCCGACCCCGCGGGCGCCCCGCCCCGCCCCCCATTGCCCCCCGCGAGCGCCCCGACCCCCCGCCCCCCGCGAGCGCCCCCCTCCGTCCCCCCTCCCCCCCCCCGCCCCGCCGGCCCACGCCGGGTCCCGCGGGGCTCGGTGCGCTCCGGCCGCTCCGGAGCGGGGCACCGGGGAGGCGGCGTCCCCGGGAGCCCCTCGGAGCCCGCCCCCGCCCCCGCCCCCGCCCGCCGCGGCCCGCGGACCCACCTTGAGGGCGAACTTCTCCTGGGTCCTCTTGTTGAAGATCTGCAGGACTTTGCCGTTGATGCCCAGCCCCAGCACCTGGGTGGTGACCTTGTAGTCGTCGATGATGGCGTTCTTCTTGATCTGCAGGCTCGACTTGACGTGGAACTGCGGGAACTGCGGCGGGGCCGGGGCCGGGGCCGGGGCCGGGGCGGGCGCGGGGGCGGGGGCCGGGGCCGGGGCCGGGGCCGGGGCCGGGGCGGGCGCGGGCGGCGGCGGCGCGGCGGGCGGCGGGCCGGGCGCGGGGGGCTGCGGCGGGGCGGGCGGCGGGCCGGGGAGCGGCGCGGGCGGGCTGTGGCCCTGCGAGCCGGACAGCATGGTGCCCGGGGGCGCGGGCGCGGGCGCGGGGGCGCGGGGGCCGGCGGGCGCGGGGGCGGGGGCGGGGGCGGGGGCGGGGGGGCCGGCGGCCGCCCCCCCCTCGGGCTCGGGACCGGGTCCCCGCCGCCCCCCGCCCGGCGGCCAAGTTTGCTCGGGGCTGGAGGCGGCTGCCCCGGCCCGGCCCGGCTCCAGGCTCGGCGGGCCGCGGGGCTCCGTGGGTCCCGCCGAGCTCCGCTGGCGCCCGCCGGGCCTGCTGCCTCCCTCGCAGCCTCCCCCCGGGGGCCTGGCGCTCGGCGGCCGCGGGACGGCGGGGCCCGGCCGGGGGGAAGCGGCCGCGCGACGATGCACCCAGCCCGGGGGCCGGCGGCCGCGTCACAGCCTCGTCTGCGTCCGGGGCCGGCCTTAAAGGGGAGGGTCGGAGGGGCCGGGCCGGGCCGGGGGCGGGGCCGGGGGCGGGGCCGGGGGCGGGGCCGGCCTTAAAGGGGAGGACGCGAGGCGCCGCGGGTGCGCGGGGCCCCAGCCCGCGGTTGGTAGCCGGCCGGGGCCACGCGGACCGGCAGGCAGGCGTGTGCGAGGAGCGGCGCCCCGGAGCCCCCAGATCCCCTCTGCCCGCCCGGTCCGTCCGTCTCTCCGGGAAGCAGGAGCCACTGGGGAGGAGGGGCGGCCGGCCGGCGGGCAGCAGCCGCGGGAGACCCGGGCGCGGGCGGGGCGGCGGCGGAGAAGCCCCCGGTCCCGGGGACGGGGTGAGCGCGCGGGCAATCGCTTCGCGACGTTCATTCGCCTCTGACTCTTGCATTTCTCTTCCCATCAGTGTATCGCTCTGCAGTTAAAAGATGGATCGTGGGGTGACCACCAACAGTGTAGCAATGGTAACTTTGAACTTCTTTTATGTAAATGAGCTAAAAAAAAAAAAAAGGAAACTGAATGGGAACAGGAGAGACTGACCTTCAGACTGCCCGGAGGACCCGAGCAAGCCACCTGCTCCTCTAACCCCGCGGAAAGGATAGCAGCACCTTGGGGGGGGGGGTGTGGGGGGAGACTCAGAGAGGACTCTAGCCCAAAGGGAGGTCTGGGGACTAGGTTCTGATCTCCGGCAGGGAAGAGTTAGTCGCTGAACCTACACCATTAGGAGAAGCGGGTATTTTTCAGAAGTCGGGTTGGAGTCCAGGTTGGCGCCGGATCTCTGGGAAAGATCCCGAGGACCTAGCTGGGCCTGCAGTAGCCCGGGTCAGGGCAGGTGGCTGGGGAGGCCCTAAGCATACGCCGCCCCAGGGCCTCTGCACGTGCTGAGGGTGTGGGGGATGATCACCAAATACACCCCCTGCCGACCCGCTCCCGCTCTGCCTAGTGGGACAGTTGAGAAATACAACAAAGGAACCGGACAGGTGAAGACAAAGCCTCAGCTTGATTACTGATAAGGCAAAATTAAAAATAGGGCTTGGGCTGTGGCGGCACGTGGCCCCTAATGTGTCCTCCCTCAACACTCCAGAGCTCCCTCGTCCAGGGAGATCCAGCTCAGGGAGAAAAGAAGGGAATAGTCTGAGGGTAGCGGCCCCTGGGGACTGAGCCCAGGCAGGGATGGAGCAAGAGGTGGAGCAGAAGGCGACCTTTCTGGGAGGGCCTCCTGGAGTGGACCGCAGAGTCCACCACATGGGGCTGGGAAGAAAACAGTTCCCCTAACATAAATATTAGCTCTTTCAAAGCAGCGCTAATTTTTTTTAAAGATTTTTATTTATTTACTTATTTAAGAGAGAGAGAGAGAGAGCACACGGGGGCAGGGGGCAGGGGGAGAGGCAGAGGGGAAGCAGACTGCCCGCTGAGCAGGGAGCTCAATATGGGACTGGATCCCAGGACCCTGGGATCATGACCCGAGCCAAGGGCAGACGCTTAACCTTCAGAGCCACCCAGGTGCCCCAAAGCAGGGCTAATTCAGTGTACAACTTGACTGTGTACAAGGTTCCATGCTCAGCCTCTCAGTGGCAGGTAGTGTTAATGTGTGGGGAAGAAAACAGAAGGGAGCAAGGGAATGGCGTGGCCAAAGTGGCGCAGACCCAGGTCTGGGAGCTGGAGGGGGAGGGATTCACCTCCAGCTGCAGTAGTGGAGGGTGGATGTGGTTAGAGTCCCCCGCCCTGCCACCCCTCACTCTTCAACCACACAGACTGCCTAAGGCCACAGAGATTGGAAACCACCTTCCCCTCTCCAGTGCTGCAGTAGGGCTCTCACCTCCCCCAAGGCACACAGGGGAGTTGCCCAGGGACGGAGAAGGAAGGAGGCAGGGATGGGGAGGTGGAAAGCTCCAACTGCTCAGTCTCTCTCTCTGCTGATTGAAGGTCCCAGCCTGGTCTGGGGCTGCTCCACGCTCTGAGTTGGTCTTTTTCTGCCCACAGAGAGTGTCACTGGGGGCTTCCTACTGCTTGGCATTGAGCTTTCACCTGGCTTCTCTCCACATGGCTGGAAAGAAGATTAGCTCTCTGCCTTTTCAGAGATAGGAAAGCACAGAGTTTAGAGACAAATGACCTGAGCTCAAGTCCATCCTCTAGTGGAGGTACCCTCAGCAAGCCATCTATCCTCTCTTTGTATCTGAGTAAATGACAAAAATAATGACATGTACTTTCGGGGCTGAGTGAGAATTTAATGAAGTTGTATTTATGAGAACTCTTCATAAATTATAAATTATCAGGAAATATTATTATTATTTTTGAAGCATGGCTGGCTGGTTCCTCTGCCCCGTGCCCCCCTGCCTGGGGATCTGTCCCTGATACCAAAACTACCTTCCTAACGAGCTGGGGCTCTGGGGAGATGCTGAAGCCCAGTGAGCTAGGAATAACAAGACAACTGAAACCCCAGCTGGGGATTCCTCTCTGAGTTACATGGGCCACTTAGGCTTGGGGCACACAAGGACTCCCAGGGCATGGTCGTGTGCGTGTGCACAGAGACTACATAAACTGCACACAGCCTCCAGAAAACACACACCTACGTGAACACAAACACATCAGCACAACGTGCCTGGCATATGGCACGGAATAAATGCCTAATGGAGGCATTATAACTGGGAGTGAGCTGGGATAAAGGGAGAAGCACTGGGCAAGAGATCCAGTCTTAAGTTCCTTTGCAGACCAACTAGTCATAACCTCACTGAAGTCTCTTGCCCTCTCAGTTCCTTCTTTCTCATCTATGACAAGTGATAACACATTTGTCTTGCTGACCTCATAGAGCTACCATAAGAAAAAAAGAAACTATTTTCCCTTAGGACACAGAAGTCCATAGTCCTATTTGTACAATGCCACGTTCTCAATGATGTGTAATAAACTTCTTAAGCAGTTTTTATTGATGTGTAGAAGCACTTCGAAAGTGAAAAGTCTATGCAGATAGAAAGTACAATTTTTGCCTATCATTGACCTGCAGGGACATAACCCACACGATGCCGTGCCCAAAAGACAATTTAAAGACCTTATATGCGTAGAGTCAGATTGATTAGAATCTTTGATCATGATACAGCCTCATCTTGGCTCCAGGTACCTCCACTTTTAGTTGGTTATCAGTTATTTTTAATAATGCAAGAGGCACCCGTGAATCCCCTACCCAAAATAAAATAAAGACTAGGGCTGTGACAATGAAATGACTAGGTGGTTCCTCCATCCCCACCCCAACCACCTCTGTTTCCCCAGCGAAAGACAACCATTATCTTGAATCCTGTGTTCACTATTCCCTTGCTTTCCTTTTACATCATTTTATTTCATAAGGTATAGGTGTCTGACCTTCAAAAAAGATAAAGCCGATAGTGTCTTAGAAGGGAGGTCGGTAAGAGTGACATTATTAATAAGATGAGGTTAAAATAAAGAAACAGCTGGGATAGTTTCAAAGTATTCCCCCACTTTCTCGTGAGAATGATGATGACGACCATTGGGTGCTTACTTTGTGCTCAGCCCTCCATCTGCATCATCTCATTTAAGTCTCATAAAGATCTGTGGCGGATTGCTAGTTTTTTTGGGCCAATACCCATTTCCCCCTCTTTGATAGTAAAGAACCTCCAATATTTAGCTAAGCACATGACTTCTCAGAGCAAAAATTGGATTTCCCAGCCTCCATTAAAGCTGGTTGTATTCACGAGATTTAGTTCTAGCCAATGACCTATAAATAGAAGGGGTTGAAGGGAAGTGGTAGGTCCTCTTCCTTCTCCTCCTCTTTTCTCTTCCACGATGGCTGGAATGAAAATTTAATGGCTGGAGCTTGAAGAGCCATCTTGGATCATGAAGTATAGGCCATGGGTTGAGGATGATAGAACAAAGTGATAAGAGCAGCCTATGTCCTGGTGAGCGTACATCTGTCATATCAGCCCTAGACCACTTATCCGGACTTTTCTATAGAAGAGTAGTAAATGTCCTTCTTATTATAGTAACTAATATACCAGGTTTTCTATCATTCACAACTAACCTTAACTATTAGTTACCCCAACTATTATACAGCCCTTTGGGGTGTGGACTTTTATTCTCATTTATTTGTTTTTTTTTTTTTTAAGGGAGGAAACTGAATCCTAGAGAAATTAAATAGCTTTTCTAGGGTCACAGAGTTTGCAAAGAACAGAACCCAGGTTTTTCTGACCTGAAGTCCACGGTCATATCTCCCAGTCTAAACCCTGAGCAAATATATACCCACACATCCTTCTTGTTTTCAGAAATACAGTGTCCACCATTTCTGGACAGGAATGGCCCAAAGAGTTATGAGCTATACTTTCCATTTTTGATAAACTTTAAGTCTCCCACATCTCAGTTTCCTTCAATCTTCTAGTTTAGGTCTATGTTAACTTGCATAGCTGGGTTATATTATGGGATAAATCGTGGCTCCATGGCAATCTCTCTTCTCCGAGCTTCCCCTGCCCTGCCTTCACATCATCAGGGAGTAAATATCTCCCATTTTACTATGATGTGACATTACGAATGGATGAAGGTGGGTAGGACTCTATAGAGGTGGATTTCTTGGAACTTTTCAGATAGCATGCTCTTGATGAGATAGGATCATCCATAGGCTGCTAGATATGCATATGCACACAGATAAACTAGACTTGGTAACTAATGCTAGTATGGCAAAAAGCAGAATATTGCAAAAAGGAGGATGATTCACAGGAAAAGATCTGTCCACTGAAAATTCACCCTTTGGAAGAAAAATTATTTGGGGCCTACAGAGATGGTAGGCTGATAATAATTATCATAGGTTGAGAATTCTTTGATAAAATGAAAGAGTCTTCAATGTGAGGATGACATATAAGAATCATTCGTCACAAAAATTTCTGAAATCTTTAAAAGTGCTAAGAGCTAATCCACGGGAAAAAAATTCTACCCAAAGCAAGTGCCACCAAGAATGCCCTATTGAGGGCAGTCCTGGTGGCTCAGTGGTTTAGCCCTGCCTTCAGCCCAGGGTGTGATCCTGGAGACCCGGGATCGAGTCAAACGTCAGGTTCCCTGCATGGAGCCTGCTCCTCCCTCTGCCTGTGTCTCTGCCTCTCTCTCTCTCTCTCTTTCTCTCTCTCTCTCTCTCTGTGTCTCTCACGAATAAATAAATAAAATCTTTAAAAATTTAAAAAGAATGCCCTATTGAGGGTTTCCCAAAGGGGGAGAAATTATCTGCTCCCCCATTCCCCCATACCCTGTCTGTACCCCAACCTTTGACAGTTAAGTGCTACAGTAGGGAGCAGCTACAGTGGAGGGGAAGAATGGGAATGGAAAGAGAAAGAAGGAAGTACCCAAAGGGGAATGGAAACTTAGCCTCTGCACATCAACAGATATAACATTGTCCAAAGGGACTACAAATGGGGCCAATTA